CCCCCCCGCCCCCCGCCCCCCTTCGCCATCTTTCCCATCTTGGCAGTTGGCCTCAAACCCAGACCTCCTCCTCCTCGCTTCTTTTTCTCGTCTGCTGCAGTCAGTCCCCTAGTGGGTTCTGGCTACCGCGATCCCAATGCGAGTTTGGAATCTGCTCGCTTCCCCACCGGTCAGCTTCCCCACCTTGCCTCTATTGCCTGGGATTGCTGATACATGGCTGCTGGGGCACCCCAGAGTGCGTAGACGAGGCCGAGCTATCCTGAGGCTGCTCTCACACTCACTCTCCCACGAGTCACAGACCTCGGGGACCCTGGTTTCAAACGCAGACGACCAGACCCTGAGCTTCAGCTCCAGGCAGATAAAGAGCCAGTTCAGACTTTCTCGGGAGTCTCCCCTCAAGCCTCTCATTTGCAGACGGACAAACTGAGGCCCGGAAGACTGGCCCAAGGTCACTACCTGGTGGTCTAGGTTCCCTGACTCCTGGCCCAGGGCCTTCTTCGGGCCTGCAGAGCTGAGCTGGGGACCCACGGTAGCTTGGGGTCATCTCAAGTGACAGGAGTTCCCTAAGTACCCGCACTGGTCCCACACTTGTCCTGTGGCTGCGAGTGGCTGGGTGGGGCAAAGGCCACCCACAGCTGGGGCCCATCACCCAATTTACCACATCCGCCCACCAGCATGGGTCCTAGGATGGGTAATGTGGGCCAGATGGGCCCATTATGGCCACGCTGGACTCTGGTGAGTAATGTTGGCATGTGTGGTGGGGGCTGGGTCTGGTCTAGGGCCCAGGCACAGGCTGGAAGGATGGGGGAGGGGTCCCAATGAAGGAGCCCCCCCACGTCCCCCCATAGGATTGGACCTGCCCCTTCCTTGTCACCCTCATGCTGCAGATTCTCAGGGTTGAGATGGGGGGGCAGGGGCCTGACCTGCCACCACCTCTTCAGCCTGCAAAGGGGCTGATCTCTGGCCTTTGGGGTATCAACCCTCTCCCTTTGGCCCCGGGTTTGAGTTTTGGCTCTATGACACTCCAACTGTGGGTCTTTTTTTTTTTATTTTTTATTTTTATTTTTTTTAATTTTTTTTTTTTCTTCAACGTTTATTTATTTTTGGGACAGAGAGAGACAGGGCATGAACGGGGGAGGAGCAGAGAGAGAGGGAGACACAGAATCGGAAACAGGCTCCAGGCTCTGAGCCATCAGCCCAGAGCCTGATGCGGGGCTCGAACTCACGGACCGCGAGATCGTGACCTGGCTGAAGTCGGACGCTTAACCGACTGCGCCACCCAGGCGCCCCCAACT